ATATCATCCAATTTTTTATTCTAATTCAAATCATCTTCAAACTAGTGTTGAATTACAACTTGCTGTCACATTAAATCGGCTAGATACAAAATCTACTCTTTGGACAATTGCAACATTATTTAGATTTTGTGAAACAACAATATTAAATTTTTTAGATAGAATTATTATAGCTATTTGATCTTTAAAATTAGAATATATAGTTTGGCCTTCTGGAAATTATAAAAAAGAAGTTAATACTGGATTTAAACAAATTCAAGGATTTCTAATGGTTATTAGAGCAATTGATGGATTACATATTCCTTTATTTGAAGCACCTAGCAAAAAAAAATAAGAATGTTTATATATCACGTAAACAAAAATATGGTATTCATTTGCAAGGAATTGTAGATCATCAAGGTCTTTTTATTTCATATAAAATTGGATGGCCTGCATCAGTTCATGATGCAAAAGTTTTCACAAATTCAGAAATTTTTAAAAATTATAAAAATTATTTTAAAGAAGAAAATTATTTGCTAGCTGATTCAGCATATCCTTTACTTCTATGGATTATGATACCATTTAAAGATCTACAAGGCTCACAAGCTCAACAAAAAACTTATAATACAGCACATAGTAAAACAAGAGTAGTTGTAGAACAAGCTTTTGGCCGCTTAAAGGCTCGATTTCCTTTTTTAAAAGAAATGAGAGCAAAGGATACAAAAAAAGCAACTAATATTATTGATATGGCAATAATTTTATATAATTTTGTTGAAAAACATAATGATATTTGGAAAAAAAATAATTCAAAAGATGATGAAATAGAATTAGAAGCAGAAGAAGATAATAAATTAATTGATTAAATAATAGAAAATAATGAAACAAATAGAGTAGAAAAAGAACATGCTAAAGTTAAACAACAAAATTTATTAGAAATTATTTTAACATATTCTTAAAAAATTATTTTAAATTTATATTATTTCTTATTAATTATTTTTTAATAATTTTTAAATATATTTTTTAATACAATTTTTATTAAAAATTTATCTATATTAAGCTAGCTATTTATTTGCAAAAAAAAAAACTAAAAAACTAAAAAAAAATTAAAAATAAAAATCGTTTAAGTGGAAATAACATAATTATATTATTTTCACTTAGTCTAGGTTATTCCCACTCAGGTATGACGACAGAAATGCGTCACCGTCGTCAGTGTTGTGATGACAGAAATGCATCACCATCGTCAAAGATATATTAGTATTCGCTCCATCATTCGAGTGATGAATGATTCACGCTTGCATCGTCATTCAAGTGAGGATTGGTTCACGAGTTCGTCGTCATACTTGGGTACCCACAACCTATAAAAAAATATAACGATGAATTTGTAGTCATGTCATCACGCTTGGATATCCCACAATCTATAAAAAATATGACAACAATTTTACGTTTACGTCGTTACACTTCTGCTATCAAATATGCTATATACACATTATCTGGGCATGCTACATTCACGCTATCGGGTATGCTATCATATGCTATCGGGTATGCTATATTTTTACTATCGGCTATGCTATATTTCTGCTATCGGCTATGCTATATTCACGTTATTTGAACTGCTATCAAATATGCGTTGCGTAATTGCTATCAGGTATGCTATCGAGTATGCTATCAAATATGATATTATCTTATTTTGTCCTAGTGGCAAAATATATTTTTACCTACCTACCTGACTGTAAGTTATACCTCACAATTGATATTCCAGAATGTGGTTAAAATGGATCTGCTCGCGTCCTAATAAAAAATCTATCCTGGTTTCGTCTAGGTAAAAATATATTAACTTGGATGAATAATGTCATGGGAGAAAAAGGTTTATTTTTGTTTTAATTTGTTCTTCTATACTTGTTCTATTTTCGTCTAAGTTGTCTAGATAAAAAATAGAATTCTAGAAAAAATATTAAACTCTTTCCTATAGTATATGCTATATATATACCTTTGGTACATATATGACATATGCTATATATAACTATGTATATGCTCTATACACATAGATAAAAATATAAGAGTAAAGAAATCTCGAAATTTACTTGGACAACTTGGACAACTTGGACGGGTAGTTTAAACCCTTTTCTTGTAGGTCAAATGCATCATCTAGCTATCTTTTTTTGTCCAGGAAAGCCGTCCAAGAAAAAATCTATCCAAGAAAAACTGGACTATAACCTCCTAAAAATCTAGGGCAAACTATGTATCTTTTTCTACCACTCCAACACCATTTTGCACCATTTTCTCCAGCTTTTTCCGCTGATAATGATCTTGAGATCGATACTTACCAGCATGAGTTCTACATGCACCATATTCAGAATAAGTGAACTTAACACAACTATATTCTTTGCAAGGATAACGAATAGGTGAATTTCAGTGAACTGTACATCCCTCAGGTCGATAGCAATTCCGATTGCATACTTTTCCACTTCTAAGGATATAAGGACAATGGTAAAATCTCATATCTATACTAAATTTTTTAATAATATATATGTCTAACACTAATTAACTAAGATAATTAATTTTTATTTTGAACTTTTCTCTAACCGTTTTTATATCATTCGAGAAAATATGACTATCCAAAATAAACATAACGTATCTATTGCTCCTGCATCATCTGATGTGCCAACTGTGGAAAACCAAAATTTCCAAGAAACCATCGATCACGTGCCAGCAGAAGTGGAAGCACTGGAGAGCCCGGAAAACTTGGAGAATTTCAAACCAAAGATAGAGGAAGAAAATAACGGGGCCTTCTATTGCGGAGCAATGGCTCTTCGAGCCTACTACCAAGCTGAGAGTGTGGCTGAATATATGCATAAAATCTGCGATGACAGCATAAGACCAAGGCAATTTCTCGGCACAGATTCCGAAGATGGGATAGAAGCTATTCTTAGTGAATAGCAAGGACATTTATTACACGAAATCATTGATGGTGATGATCCTCTCCGCCCATTCATAGATTTCAATTTACTCCAAGAAATATTAAATAAAATCGATCCAATACCTACACGTAGAGAGGTGAAAGATATACTTGCTTGAGCCTTTAAAGAAGTATGTCTAGAATTATATCCAGATTGGGATAGAAAAACATTAACTATTGCTAGCAGTAGCGATTCAAAAAAGATGTCACTTCATATCTTAATTTTTGGTATGAGACTTAAAAATATAACGGCTTGTACATTATTTACTGAACTTGTTTATAAAAAACTCCCAGTAGGCTTACAAGCCAAGGAAATTATAGACAATATCGCGAATAAAAGATCATTTTCCTTGCAAATGCTTGGAACACCAAAAGTAATTGAGAAAAAATGTGAAAAAACTAGTAAAAAAATTTATAAACATGTACGAATAAAAAGAGCAATATATCCTGAAAATAAAGATGTATTCGATTTTATGCTTCGTCCACCTAATGAT